GTTATTTACTCTTTAGGTTTATTATTTGTTACCAATCTTCTCCTACTAGGGTGTAAAGAAGAATTTGCAGCTTTTTAATTTTTTTTTTCCGAGACAGGGTTTCTCTGAGTAGCCTTGACTGTCCTGGAATTCTGTAGACTAGGCTGGCTTCAAACTCGTAGATCTTTTTACTCTTAAAGCCTGACTCCACGTGGGAATGGAAGACACTATGGTAAGTCAATTCTGAAGTTAGAGAATCAGGCCTGCTCTGCTTGCAGTGTGTAGAGCCCTGGCTGTTCCAGCAGGCGGAAGCCACTGAAGGAGGTGGAGCCTGCAGGAAGCCTACTGCCTCCCTTCCTCAGCACTGGAGCCCTGACTGAGCGGCTGTCTGGCCTTGGCAGGTGCGGGCGATTGGCCATGGTTAGGTGTCACCCGAAGGCCCAGGGAGATTGGCGCGTATCTGGCCTTACCTGGCTTGACTCTAACATGGAGTGTCAGCAATAGACGTTGATCCTGCTCCCCTTGCCCACTTAGGTTGTTTTGTACTCGAGCCTCCTTATCACTCGATTGGGCAGTGACAGCTCTTAAGTGTCACTTTTCCTGAGGCGAGACACCTTTCAGGTGTGGACACTTGATGGTTTTTTCTCTCCCTGGGAAGTATCTATACATCCAGAGGGGGCTCAAGCTCAAACTGAAAGAAAGCCAGTCCAGCCTGCCTCTTCCTGCGATCTTCTGATGGGTCGGGCAATGAGGAGGGAATGAGGACATGCTTTGCTTTACAGATTGCAGAGTCTTGTAAATGCAACCGAGGAGAGAGAACTCCCATCTTCCACAAAGGAAATCCTCACATGCAGCTATGAAGGATGGTTAGAGAGGCTCAGCAAAGAGAAAGAGCGGGGCCTTGAGTTTACACTGCTGCTACGCCTTCCATAGGAGCGTTCATGGTTGTTTTCTTTTTAATAGAACAGACACACAGGCCTTGAGCTGCTGCTACCCCTTCCACAGGAGCGTTCATGGTTGTTTTTCTTTTTAATAGAACACACACACACACACATAATAAAACTTATAAAAATTTTAGTGTTATTGGTGTGAGTGTATTATAGTACGCGTGGCAGTCAGGGAACAATTTTCTAGAGTCTGTTCTCCCTTTCCACCATGGGTTACAGGTCATCAAGCTTGCACACCCTGCACTTTTAACCAACAAGTCACCTCACTAACACAATTTATGCTGAAAAAGAATGAAAGGGGGCATGGGGATACGGCTCAGTTGGTGGGGCACTTATCTAGTGCATCAATAGTCTAGGTTTAGTCTCCAGATGTTAGCAAGCCCAGCACCTGGGTAGTAGAGAAAGGAGGATCAAGTTAAAGTCAGTGAGCTAGTGAGATAGGCCTGAGCTACAGGAGATCAAAAGAGAAAAAGGAGGGGGAGAGGGAGGGAGGGAGGAAGGGAGGGAGGGAGGGAGGAGGGAGGGAGGGAGGGAGATGCGTTCATTTGAGTGTGGTGGGCCTTGCCTGATCATCGCCAGTTCTTCCTGGAGAAGTTCCACCTTACAAAGGGAGACCCTCCAATCCTCTGAGGATAGAGGTTTGGGGTCTCAGCTGGGTTCTGTCCATAGCAGGAGAAGGCAGCCAATGGTGGTGGAAAGTGAGATAAGAGCAGAGACACTACACTTCCTGTCAGCTCCCAGAGGGTGGTCCGCAAGACAGGAAACCATTCGTCCGCTTGGCATGTTGTAAACAGAAGCTGTTCCACAGACTAGTACACTCTGTGTGTTACTGGAGAGAAACTTTGATGAAGTTCCATGTGATGAGTACCTTTTTGGTGTAAGAATTTATTAAAGGAAAAAAAAGATTTTTTTAAGGATTAGTTGGTCAAGTGATAACTAGGGCCTGAGTCCCACCTCCAGAAACCATGTGAAAACAAAACAAAGCAAAGCAAAGAAAAAAAAAAAAAGAAGTCTAAGTGTTGTGGTTGGTTTGTGGACGGTAGAGCGGATTCCTGGAGCTCGATGAGCCTAGCCTAATCGCCCAGTGAGAGATGTTATCTCAAAGGGAGGTCAGTGAGAGTTAGTGAGATAGCTCAGCAGGTAAGGACCTTTGCCACGAAGCCTCTAACCTCCATGTACACATTGTGGCACATGTGTAAACACCATACACACACACACACAAAGAGAGAGAGAGAGAGAGAGAGAGAGAGAGAGAGAGAGAGAGAGAGAGAGAGAGAGAGAGAGAGAGAGAGAGGGAGGGAGAGAGAGAGAGGGAGGGAGGAGGGAGAGACTAGAGAGAGAGAGGACCCCAGTTCCATTCCTGGCGCCCACATGGCAGCTAACAACTGTCTAAAACTCCAGTTCTAAGGGGCCTCAAAACCACTTTTGGCCCACACTATACACTCATGGTACCCAGACACACATGTAGACAGAACACACACACACACACACACACACACACACACACACACACACACACACACATATAAGATAAAAGGAAATCTCAAGAAAATAAGAAGTTTTAGTTTTATTTGTGCATGCATGTCTGTGTGTGGCTATGTGCAAGCCGGTGCGGGTGCCCGTGGAGGCTGAGGGAACTGAACTCAGGTCCTCTGCAAGAGCAGCATGTGTTCTCTCCTGCTGAGCCATCTCTCCAGCTCTGGGTCACTTATGTAGTTCAGAGCACAAAGCACTGAGAGTACTGTCTGGTAGAGTGCCTTGGCCATAAAACAGGATTCCTGCAACACACATGTGAGCTTGCTGGGTCATTCTAGGAAGGAATGTCTGTTGGGACAGCCTGTCTTGCCTTGGGCAAACCATTTCAGGAAGGAGAAACTGCAGGAGGATATGTGGGCTATGGTTGCAACAGTTTCCTCACTCAAGGCCTTCACCCTGCTCCTATAAAGGGGTGCAGCAACCTTCTCCCCTCCACCCCGCAGACCCCTCAACTTCCTGAGGGAGAGAGGCTGCCCCTTGCTGTGTGCATTAGTAAACCCAGTCCTGTCTGTGGAAGGTTAGATCCCTGTCTCTGTTCTGCCTTCTGTCTCTTTACATGGACTCAAAAGTCTAACACTAGATCCAATCTAAATGTAAAGCTCCAGTGAATTTTTACACGCAGATGTCCTGGTTAGGTTCATGTCAACTTGACACAATCTAGAGTCGTCAGTGAGGAGGGCACCTTACTTGAGAAAATGCCTCAATAAGGTTGGACGGCAGGCAAGCCTTTGGGAGCATTTTTAAATTAGTGATAGATGGGGTAGGGTTCAGCCAGTTGTGGGGTGTGGGTGAGAGCACCCCAGGGCTGGTGGTTCTGTGTTCTATAAGAAAGCAAGTTGAAAACCTTGTCTCAAAAAATTAAGAAAAAAAGGAAGAAAAGAAAAGAAAAAGCAGGTAAGCAGGCCAAGCAAGCCTTGGGGAGCAAGCCAGTAAGCAGCACCCCTCCATGGCCTCTGTGTCAGCTCCGGTCTTCAGGTTCCTGCTTCATTTGAGTTTCTGTCCAGATTTCCTTCAATGATGAACACATATAAGGAAGTGAAAACTGAATAAACTCTGTCCTTCCCAAGTTGTTTTGGTCATAGCGTTTCATCACAGCAATAGTGACCCTAACTAAGACAGTAGGTATGTCACCTGCTACTTAAGGGCAGGCTGTTGGTGCTGCTTTGGGAGGTGGTTGATATGACCAGTCCTGGTTGGAGGAAGCAGGAAACTAGGTAGTGGAACTTTTGAAGTTGTGACCTAAGCCTGCCACTGATCTACGCTCTGCTTCCTGTTCCGCCGAGATATAAGCTCCTGCTGCCGTGATGGACGGTACTCTTGAAATGTGAGCTAAAATAAATTGCTGTTCTCCTGAGTTATACCATCAGGTATGTGGTCACAGCAATGAGAAAGTCACCATTGTAGAAGGCCTTCTGACTGAAGACAGCAAACCCACCCTTCCTTCCCCTCAGCGCTAACCAACTGTCCTTCTGTTCCTCTCAGTCAGCTTTGCCCATCAAGACCTTTACATGAGTAGAACTGTACAAACATTTTATGTCGCCTCTCTCCCTCTTGTCCTCCGTCTCCATCTCCCCCCTCTTCCTTTCTCCAGAGTCTTCTGTATCCCAGACTGGTCTCCTATTCATTATGTAGCTGAGGATAACCTTGAACTTCCGAAGGGCTTTGTATCATGGATTAGTTTGCATTGTGTGAATAAAGACTATTTACTCCTCTATATGCTTAATGGTGGACTACTGATGGGGCTCTTCTGAATAAACCTGTTGTGAACACTCTGTTGCTCTCAGTTGGTGGGCACACACACACACACATTCTCTCTCTCTCTCTCTCTCTCTCTCTCTCTCTCTCTCACACACACACACACACACACACACACACACGCTTCTTCAAGGTGAATCTTAAGTGGAACTGCTTGTCAAAGTGCAGGCTTGGTAGGTTTATAGTGTTGAGACTTGCGGAGTAGAATTTCCTTTCTTGTGTGTTTCTGGTGAGGGTGGGTCTCAAGGAAGACTCTGGAGAGCATTTGGAGGGTGGACAGGAAGCAGCAGTCATTTTGTAGCTCAAACACATTTTGCTTTATCTTTGGCAGGCCTGACCAGCGTGTTTCCATAGCTGGCTTCCCCTTTGCTTGGCTTCTGCTCTCGAGTCAGGAATGTCTGAAGTGACTTCCATTGGAAAGTCCCGTGGTTTCGGCAAAATACATCACCAGCAGCTGCAGCAACAAGAGCTGACAGGGATTTGAGGCTTCAGTTCATCTCTTGGGGTTCTACTTCAAGCTTATGGGGTCTACCTCTTCTTTGTCTCCAGTACTGTAAGTCTAATCATGGCTGTCTGACTCAAGGAACTGAAGCTCCAGTATGAGGTAATCTGTGTAAGATGTCTGAGTCATTATCCATAATTAAGACCAAATCCCTGTACCATACAGGACATCTCTCTCTCTCTCTCTCTCTCTCTCTCTCTCTCTCTCTCTCTCTCTCTCTCTCTCTCTCTCTCACACACACACACACACACACACACATGCACACAGACACAGTCTCTCTCACACATGCACACACCACACATATCACACACATACCAGACACACACATCATACCCCTCATACCTCCACACATACCCCCATACACACAACACACTACATATATGCACACACACAATGTCTATCCTTAGTAGTCAACTTGCCTTCATCTGGAATTAGCTAAAAAAAAATCAAGCCACTAGGCACTCCTTTGAGGGACAGTTTTTAGGTGATTGGATCACTCCAGGTCTGAAGACCCACCTTGAATCTGGGCCACACCCTCTTATGGCAGTTGGTATAAAGGGCAAGGGAGAAAGAGGCTTTGCTCTTTGCCTGCATGCCCTCACTCTTTCTGGGAGTCCATTCCTTCACTGGCATTAGAGCCTCTTTCTACATTCCAACTGTTGTGGACTGACAACTACGGGATTCTCAGACTTTCTGCTACTCGCCAGCCGTTGTGGATCAGCTGCACCACAGCCTGTAAGTCGTTCTAAAAAACCTCCTTTACATAGAGATAGAGTCATATTATCAGTTCTCTTCTGGTCGAGAACACACACACACACACACACACACACACACACACACACGGACACACACACACAGAGTAACTTTTGTTCCTGGTTGAACCTGGTTGATTCAGTGTGTGTTTATTTAATGACACTGGAAACTTCCAGACACTTGCTAAGTAACTGCTCCTGCACACCTTTTCTGGTTGCCCTGCAGCCTCACCTTACCCTAATGTCTCATTCTTTTAGATTTTTACCCCTTCTGGTTGGTGGGTGGGTATTTTCATTTTAAAAACCTCTCCTTTATCTTCTTAGGAAATTCAAGAACAGGGGCTGGAGAAATGGCTCAGGGGTTAAGAGCACTGGTTGCACTTCCAGAGGTCCTGAGTTCAATTCCCAGTTCCCACATGGTGGCTCACAACCATCTGCATGCCAGAACACTATACATAATAAATAAAAAATTAAATAAAAACTTTAAAAAAATCTTTAAAAAAGAGAAATTCAAGAACAGCAGGGAAGTGGTGGCACACACCTTTAATCACAGCAGAGGCAAAGGCAGGTGGATCTCTATGAGTTCGAGGCCAGCCTGGTCTACAAAGCTACACAGAGAAACCCTGTCTTGCAAAACGAGAGAGAGAGAGAGAGAGAGAGAGAGAGAGAGAGAGAGAGAGAGAGAGAGAGAGAGAGAGAGAGAGGGAGGAATGGAGGGAAGGAGGGAGAAATTCAAGAGCAGGAAACAGACTCTTGAGCTACAAACTTATTAATGCAGTGCTGCCATTTGCAGTGAAACAATGGAACTGGAGGCCATCATTCCTAATGAGATAAGTCAGGCACAGAAAAACAAGGACAGAATGTTCTCTCTCATGGATGGGAAGGAAGTCATTCTGAAGAGCAGACAAGTGGTTCCTAGAGACTGGAACGGATGCTGCAGGGTGGGGGCAGGGGGTGTGGAAGAGGGGTGAGTGGAAATGACCCCTGCATGTTGTGTGCATGTATGGAAATTCACACTCAGTCTCATTAGTATGTACAATTAATATGTGTTAATAAAAAAGTAGGAGAGTGTCTGAGGAAAGCCTCTGTAGCTGGAGGAAGCATGCGACACAGAATTATATCTTCACCCCTCATTGGCTGCATGATCTTGGTTGACTATCTCTCTGGGCTTCAGCTTTCTCATCTATGAAATGAATTATTCATCATCACTAACAAGTATCGATTGCTTCCCAGATGCCAGACGCGGCTCTAAGCACTCCCCGTGTATACTCAGTCATCGGATTCTCTTGATTCACACGGGGTGGGTGCTCCCGTGACCCTGGACTTAGATGAGGGGAAACTGCCATAGGTAATGTGTCCACAGTAGACACACTGCAGACCCAGGATTCAAACATGGACAGTTTGGCTTCCAGCACCATGTTTTCTGTCTACAGCCCTCCATCACAAGGAAACGTGGGGCTAGAATGGTAATGTGGATGTACAGGCTCCCCAAAGCTGCAGGGCTAATATACAGTGCAGTTGCTTCCTCCTTCTCCTCCGTAGGTTGTGATTGGAACTTGCTGTGTGGTTTTGTTAAAATGCAGAAATGAGCCTAAACAGACAAGCACCAGAAAAATCCAGCTGGAATAATGATGAAGACATCCAAAAGGTAGGTTCTTCAAAGGATCCAGAAAGATCCAGGGCTGTCCGGACACAGCACCAGGACACTCTGACTTAGATATTCCAGTCCTTGGCAGGCAGGAGGCTTTGGAGGCGTGTCTGGCTCCACCTGTGTGTCAATCCATCGACTCGCTTTACTGACTTTGTACCGAATAAAGAACCTTCTAGTATTGATTTTCTTTCCCAAAAGTCTGTCCTTCCTGAAAGAGATTGTGCTGACCAGCCAACCTCAGAATTCCTGGCTGCTGGGGGTTTTCATTTCTCAGTGCAAATTAATAAATTGCATTTTGGGCTCATTAATCAGTCTCATGAGTGTGTTTAGTGTGAGCTATTTCCTCTAAACTTAATCATAACAATTCACCTTCTAGGGGGAGGGAATGGAGAAGAAATACCTTCAGTACAGTAAGAGGAATGTTCCAAAAATTTTATGAAAAAGACAGAATGTGTTGATCTGTGGCTGGAGCACCTTCAGAGTGGCTTCCTGGAGGCGGGTGACACTGGCAAAGGAGGGGACTTCAGCATGACCCTTGAGCACAGTCCCTGAGGCCTGCCCGAGTTGGAGATGTGTCTCTTCCCCTTCACTGGCTGAACGACTTTGCCAGGCTTCTGCATCTCTCTGGTCCTCATGCCCCTTATTTTTATGGTTCTCACAATGATGGCCTCCAATATGGGTTGGTGTGAGCACCAGATAACTGCAGATATTCTGAAATATCCCGGAGAGCCGATTTCAGGGCTCGTCTCACCCAGGATCTCCAAATTCACAGATGCCCAAGACATTTCTGTAAAATTTCATTATATATATATATATATATAATTCTCAAAAATAACGAAAAATAAATTACTAGTAAATGAAAAATATAGCATAGTATTTACATTTAGCCTAAGCACTTATGCTTGAAGTCCTTAGATTATTCATGGTGTGTGTGTGTGTGTGTTGCATGGATCTGAGGTGAGCGATGGGTGTCTGTGGGTGTGAAAATGTGGAGGCCCGTGAAAGACATTGGAGTCTCCTATCACTCTTTACCTACTGCCTGGAGACAGGGTCTCTCACTGAACTGGTAGCTTGCTCATTTGACTAGGCTCCCTTGCCAGTGAGCTCCTAGGATCCACTAGACTGCCCCCACGGATGCTAGCTTACAGGCATGTGGTTCTGTGGTAAAGATTTTAATTCAGATTCTTAGGATTGCATAGCAAGCGCTCTTACCCACTCACCATCTCCTCAGCCCCCATGCATGGTACTGAATACAATGTTATGCAAATAGTTATTAACGATGTTAACAAGAGCTGGGCACCACAGTGCACACCTGTAATCCCAGCACTTTAGAGACAGAGGCAGAAAGATCAGGAGTTCCAGCCTATCCTCAGCAACACAGTGATTTCAGGGCCAGCCTGGGCTACATGAGAGTCTGACATAACAAGATAAAACAAAACATGTTGCAATGATTTATTTGGGGACACAAGACAAAGAAAACAATTCCTACATGTTTAGTATAAATGCACTGTCCCCTAGCCCCCCACCCCAATATTTGAATCTGTGGTCGCCTAAACTCCAATTAGGGCAGACCAACTGTGCTGTACAAAGCTCTTCTTAGCCTGAGGCCTGGCTTGCAAAGGACACTTAGTAAATGGATGTCATTACTGTTGCTATTATGAATGCCCTGAAGGGTATTTCCACAGAGGGCATTCTGGAAGGAGTCTCATTTGGCACTGGGTACATCCTCAGGACCTAGAGACTGTTCTGTGAGTGGTGACCCTTAGGTTTCAGATGTGCAGGGCAGAATGTTCTTTGTAGTAGAGGGATCCTTCCTTGAGAGCAATCACAGTCCATTCTGTGGTTTAGCAGCAGATAAGAGCTGCCACACAATCTGTAAGAGCTCATCAGCTCGTGGTTTCTGAGTCACTGTCAGGTCATTCCAGCTTCCAAACACGAGGCCTGGGCCGGAAGGGCAGTGCCTGGAGACAACTGAACCTTATCAGAGAACCTCCTTCAGGATCAGCCTCTGCATGGAAGCCTAACATTTTAGCAGCTAGGGCTGAGAGATGCTCAGTATTTGTTTCTAGAGAAAGGAAGGGAGGCCCTACTGGGAAGGGCGCTCTCAGTAAGGTCCGGCTGCAGAGCTGGGTCCCCTGCTCTCTTGTCCTGTGCTTGTCCACAGATCCTGGTTGAAAAGAAAGTTATTGGCTCCAGACCCCTAAGGCCAAGTTCTCAGCACAAAGGAGATTTATTTGCCCCAGAGGGACAGAGGGAAGGGATAAGGGTCAAAGACAGAAGACGGAAGAAGACGGAGAAGGGGAAGGGAGTCAGGGAGAGGGGACAGGGATATTTGTTCAAGAGGGACAAAGGACTGTCTCTGGGTAGAGAGGAGACAAATGTAGCACATAGGAAAGTAGCAGTTGATAAAAGTGCAATGGGAAAACCCTGTGTTAGGATGAGGTGTTTAATTTTAGTTGGACATCTAATCAGGTGAGCCAATGGGCAATTTTGATTACTGGACTTCAATACTTTGATAGCTGGACCTTGGTAGTCAGCCTCAGGAGGAGGAAGTAAGGAATGGAGCTTGGGGCTAGCCCCAGGAATGTAATCCAATGGTTTACAGCAAAGCGGGATGAACAGGGCAAGGCCTGCCGGAGTCACATGCTGGAGTGGCTAGTTGTCCCTTCACTGGTGAGTCCTTCCTTGAGTTCACCACAGAGTAGAGAAGGATGGACAGCATGCTTAGAGGGTATTTGGAGTTCCATTCTACATGTGTCTCCAGGGAAGAAAGAAATAGACAAAAGCAAGACTATCCAGGCTTGGAAGGGAGAAATAAAGGCAGGTCACAGGCTAAAGAAAAAGGAGTCCCCAGAACAGAAAGCAGAAAGAATGCCCTATCTCAGGTGAAGAGTGTTTGGAGATCCAATAGAGGGAGCAGACGTTAGGACCTGGGAAAGCTTCTATCTCCAGTCTCCCTCAGAGCCACACAGCTAAGGGCCTTGTATCCTGTGGTCACTCTGAGGTGGCATCCTGGACTTACTGGCTGACAGGGGTACTAGGATTCTTGGGGTCCCAGAGGAGGTAAAGTGTGTGTGCGGGTGCGGAGTGGGGGTTGCTGCTCCACTCCTGTCCACATTGTAACTCCTGTAACCGTAAGTCGCCCCGTCCTGCACGCACTGTCCTGTCACACCTGGGGCCTTATCTTGCAGGGCTCAGCCAGCAAGACTTTGTGTCCTGCACTTGGGCTCTGGGAGCCCTTTGGGAGAAGGAGGATTTGACTTGACTAAGTTCTAGCTCTGGTTGAGACCCTTGGCAGGAGCTGAGCAGTAAGAGTGAGGGGTTGAGATGAAACTCTGAGGAGTGGAGAGCTGGAGAGAAGCAGAGAAAGAAATGATTGGGAAGGAAGGGAGGAGAGAAACACACATGGAGCCTGGGCAGGAATGGGGAGAGGCAGGTAGGGGGTTTGTGGACGAAGGACAAAACAAAAGACAGGCGGGGTCGGAGGACAGAGTTGACCTGGACAGTTAATATAATCCCAGAAAAGGAATTCCCACCACTTACAGAACACGGGCAGCAAAGGCTGCATATGACTCCCTAATGGGTGAGGCTCACACTCTAGGTCAGTGCAGCTGGCTCCCTAACAGGTGAGTCGCAGACCCCAGGTTGGCTTCCAGTCACTAAGTCAGAGTGAGCTTGGAGTACAGACCAGCTCTTCTCTTCTCAGAAACGCTAACAGGGAGGGGACAAAACAAGACAGAGATACCAGTAACAAATCAACATAATAGCCCTGTAAGCAGAGCTCGCACAGTTGGCTGGTCATTTATCCTGACTAAAACAAAAACCAGGTCTCTCATAAGAGACAGAACCAGAAGGCCAGGCCCTCTGCTTTTGGCATCTCTGCCTAGCTCAGGAGAATGAGGAAAGACTCCTTGTTACCTGTTTCTTCTCAAACCTCAGAGGGCCTCGGCCCCTTAACCCTAATGAGACCCCCCAAGAGGCCTGTCCCTCTTACCCAGGAGAAGGCCCCCTAAGAGGCCTATTTTTGTAAACAGAACTGAATTCAGTATGCAGACTCACTTCCTAGGAGTGCCACAAGGACTATACCCATTTTGGTGTCTGGGCCACACAGCAGTTACTACAAACCTTTCTCGGCTCAGTGGGAGGCATGGAGTACTGGGGTATCTCCATAGAGCAACTCCTCTAACTCCTCTACTTCCTAGGGCAGTCAAAAGGGAGGCTGAGTCCTGGTGGGTTGGAGTTACCTTTCTGGGGCCTCTAAAAAGTGAAATAACCCATGTGAAAGACATAGACAGCTGCACAAATTAAGTCAATTAAAAGCTAAGAATCCTTTCATTTTGCCGGGCGTTGGTGGCATACGCCTTTAATCCCAGCACTCGGGAGGCAGAGGCAGGCGGATCTCTGTGAGTTCGAGACCAGCCTGGTCTACAGAGCGAGTTCCAGGACAGCCTCCAAAGCCACAGAGAAACCCTGTCTCGAAAAACCAAAAAAAAAAAAGAATCCTTTCATTTTGACCAGAGTGACCTAGCATGGGCTAATGCTTCAGTCTCTTGGTGTTGAAGCTCAGGGGTACAGCGTTTTCAAAGGCAAAACCCACAGAAGCCACAGTTACTTCAATGTCAGATGAGGGTCAGGGCAGTGTAGCCTTGAAACATCTGCTTAGGTGGAACACAGTGGTTACTTCAGGTACAACATGACAATTAATTTTGATTTGTACCTTTTTCAGTTATTTTAGGTTATGTTTAGTTTGTACAAACATTACTTCTTTTGGTTATCCACTGGACCATGGTTAGGGTCATGGAAATCTCAAATGTGTTGTCCAGTAAGATGTGGCTGTTGGGAGGCAGAGGGTTGAGGGGTCTAAGCAGACACGAATGGAGTCAGGACACGATGGCATTGCTTTAGTCTCTTCAGCTATATGAGTGGGGCTGGGAGACACAGAGCATACGAATACTTGTGTAATCTAATCAGCAATGCTACCAGAAAGCCGCCTGCCCACTTTACTTCCTTGACTAGTAATTGATCCTTCTGTCAGTCCATTTCCAGAGGTCATGGTCTGTGCAGTAACTGGGGGTCAGGTCGACCAGGCGGCTTATTAGCTAGGAACATCAACTGAGGGCTGGAGAAGACTCAGTGGTTAAGAGCTCCTACCGTCTGGTTTCCAGCACCTACATGACAGCTCGCATCAATCTAGAACTCTAATTGCAGAGGATCTAACACACCTCTTCTCACCTCTGAGGGTTCCCATATGCATGGAGAGCACATATATACTCAGGTATATACGCATACACATAAGATAGAGTGTTTG